ACAACCACGCATTTAATTTTCCGATCGATATGGGAGCCTCACCCAGTACGGTTTAGCATCCTACATAATCGGTTCCAAATTGTCGCTGGGTCGGGTTAATGCCCTAAATCAGCCTGTCTAGCCATAATTTTCTATTAGAACGGCCAACCGCCGGTTTTATCCTACGCCAGATTTATTTGCAGTGAAACACAAAATCCGAAAGAAATGGATCGAGCTTTTGACTGGGTTGTTCCACAAAATACTGCGAGATTCAGGGCTACTCAGAGTATACTGCGTGCGTCATTCTTGTGGGCAATACCATACAAAGACAACTCGGTAGGAACAGAGAAACAAACTGAGTGGAAGAACGCGCTACTCAATCGACCAAGCATCAAGACCACCAGATGCATGTCTGAAAGTGTGGACTAAGCTCCTAGGAATACTCCATGGTTTGGAGTGCCACTCGGACATGGTGCCATTTGCGATAGTCAAAGGGCACCATGGTGATTTCAGGATGCAGTGTGACGGCAAGTTTACTAGGCGATGTGTGAATCAGTTGGTCCTTTGACAAAAGTGGCTGTTAGCCTGCCTACGTCTAGGAACCCGTCGGTGAGGCGCCATCAATGCCCCATCGAAAGGATACTTTTTCCTTGGTAGGCTTTCGACACATCCTCAACAGCTTCGGGCGACGGATGCACAAAACTGTTCATCTTTAATATACTGTCATCTGCCGACCGGGCCGGATACAACACCACTCACACTTTCTCCACAAATCCACAATGCTTTCATCCTCGTAGCGTAACCTATCAATGATCACCGGACCATTTACAAGCTAAACACAAAGCTCGACGTCCCGATCAAAGATCACACGATCAGCACCCAACATGTCTGCTAATAAGTTACAATGACAGTTGAACTGACAGTGAAAAGTCTAGCAACCACACCCGTTTGAAGCTCCTCAGGGCTAAGCTTTTGATATTTTTGGTTGCCAATGATATGCGTGTGTCACGTGTTTCCCACTGGTAACACAATAGTTTCTCAACCAATCCACACTTGATTAAACCAAACCCCCGAATGGGCCCCATCGCCCTCGGAATCGGTTTTTGGTTTGCTTTTCCCCTTTGGCTGCAACCTTGAATTTTAAGGATGTGAAAAACAACGAGAGCCAAGATACAGCCGCCTGACTTATATCTGCCATCTTGTCGTGGTGACGACCACAGTGATCTTGCGGGATCCAGTAGCTGTAAATCAGTTCCTCACTTCCAGTCATACTGGAAATGCCAAGGGAGAGCGGCCCGAGGGAAAAGAGTGACTCACTGTGCTATAACAATTCGTTTTACAAGACGTCCTGCAGTTGAGGTCTTGTTGTCATCTTCGACACGATTTCCTCAAAGCAGTAAGGATTTTTCTTCAGGTGATCGGCATATCCGTCGGTGATGCACTCCCCCGAGGCATTTCCCCCTGAAATCCACACACCAAGGTCAAGCAAAGGTTGACGTAACCGCCTGCTCTGTGCTGAAAGTGAACATTCTATGTCCCGACATTGAAGTATGAAAGCGCTGACAGGTAAACTGGGTCGGTCCGACAACTGCTGCCAACGTAGATGGAGACCCTGAGACTCATCAATGGTTAACGACACTAGTAGACCCGGTTCAATCAAGCATTAGGTTGCACCTCTGCGTCAAAGCTATCGCCCTCATTTCGTGGCTGTACACTTTCCAGAACGCTGATCAAGTGACTGGCTGGTTGAAAACGCAGCCTTAGGACACCACATAAGGAGTATGAATAAATGTTCGACTTTTAACGACTGTTTGCGCGATTTTATAACAAAAAAAGTGTGCCCTTTATTATCTGCCTTTGTCCTGCTAATGGTTTTGCTAATCCAAAATGTGCGCTTAAGCTCGTTTGGTCGAGCCCACTTGGAACAGAAATTCACAAATTAGGTCACTGGTACCGATCAATTAACTGATTTGTCACTCGATCGATTAAAATTGATTGAATGGACAGCAACTTTTAATCACGAAAACCGAAAAGGGATCGATCGATACAACTGTTGCAGTGCATGAGTATCAACCGAGCCATCGAGTTATTCCAGAAACGAAAATAGTTACTAAGGTTTTCCAGCATCAGGGACGAAGAATATCGATTTTATGCTTACTAGTCATTCAACAAGAGCAACTAACGGACAGACCGTAGTTTCTGCTAAGAAGTGCACCTTACAAGTGAACATCACTTTCTCTTTGCCCAACCAGGTAGTCATATAATGTGGATGTAAGGTCTACGACTTGTACTTGGACCTCTGTGATTTGCAAACCAGTGTTTCTTGCGCACCATTTGGCTCCCCAACTGAACACAGTTTTGAAATGAACAGCAAGAAGAAGCAGAGAAACTGTCAGTTTTCCGCAAACTTTATAGGTGGTTTGTTTTGTCTAGATAATCACGAACTCTCGCCCTAGCAGCATTAATATCACCAATAGATGAATAATTATCATTCAGCTGTACATATGTGGCACTGTTGTTTCCACACAGGCTTGAGTAGGCCACTTACTGACTCATCAGAACAACTCATGATTACAACTACAGTCAAGGACGAAAGAACTAAGGGTAAAGCTTGGTAAGTGATCAGGTGGCTGTTGATCTGTTCGCCGAGCTTGGCGACTGATTTGCAAACGTTTTGTCACCATTCGAGGAGACATCTTCAGTGCGCCTTTGGGTGGTTAGTCCCTCTCTTCATGCCTGCGTTTAATAGTTTACAAAGAGCAGCCTTTGCGCTGTAACCTGGATTGTGATTGGTTTGACCAACAGAGAAGCCTACCATGACGCAATACAGATCAAAAACGGGCCAACCGAAATAGATAACAATGGATGGCAAGTTCAATAGTAGCGTGGCCGTAGGAAGCAAGAAATACGAACCACAACTCAAAACAGATTAAGATCGGACCAACCAGAATCCAGGTACAGCGCAAAGGCTGCTCTCTTTTAGACTACATAAACGCAGGCACGAAGAGAGGAACTACTCAACCAACAGCGCACTAAAGATGTTTTCTCGAATGGTGACGAAACGTTTGCAAATCAACTGACAAACTCGGTGAAAAGATCAACGGCCACCTGATCAATTACCAACTAATGCACCCGAGCTACCAATATTCCAACACGTAACCAGGGTTAAATCTCCTGTTTGGTGCAGGAAGTTGTGTTTGTTACCAGTGAATTTTGCTCACATGAAGGATTACCATATCTGGTTAATACAAAATTGGTTGGCAAAGTTATCCGTTGCTACACGGTAACCGTACAGTGTAATGTCAACAGTAATTCAGCTGAGAGGAAGCGTGAAGAAAATTGATTTTTTGCACATGCTCAGGAAAACAAATAAGACGATGCAAACGGAACAAATGATAGTGCAAACACTCAAAATTTAATCGATTGCGCTGAAAACTGCCCCGTAAAAGATTTGAAATTTTTCTAAGATGTTGTGAAAAGTGTGGTATGAAAAAGATCAGTAGAAACTGCGGTTAAACTCAATCCAGCAAAACAGGACGAATTTTAAACGAGGTGTGTATTTTTTATAAGGGATCGTGACCAAATACACTACTCATAGACGTAATACACTACTCATAAGGTTGCGGATAATGCATCTACAGCCGAAAGCCGGTCTCTCCTTTCTTGGCCAATATTTCACTGAAATGTTGTAATGGTATATTTTCAAGTATTCGTCGGGCCCAAATAATTTCCACTTTTGTTAGACGTGAATGGGCATTCAAAGCGTTCCCACCCTTCTCCCTTCTTTGTCAGAAACAATTATTTGTCTGGGTTAGAGTGTTGATTTGGGGCTAACAACGCGAAACGATTGTGCCGCCATTGATGTTCAAGTGGAAGTTGATCACATTTGTAATTAGCTCCTGGAACCCAGTCAGTTTTATGTTTGACCATTATCAAGACAACGGTCTAGATTCCACGCTCCCAAGAGATTTGTTTGACACAGGTAATTCCTAACAAAGAGGTGGACGGCACTATTTTTTTAAAAAAAATTTCCCAAAGTGCCGACTTAAGAATATGCCTGGCTTTGAAAGCAAAAGAGTATTTTTTGTAGAATTTTTACCGGTGAATTAAGAAATTTATTGTGCATCATCCGGGAAGCATGAATATGCCTGGCTTTGAAAGCAAAAGAGTATTTTTTGTAGAATTTTTACCGGTGAATTAAGAAATTTATTGTGCATCATCCGGGAAGCATATCAGAAACAGGGTATTTACCGTGTGTTTTTCCAGTGCGCAATATTTAGAGAATAATAATACGATTTGTATAAAATGGCGTTTATAATGATCGGAGGTCTACTAGACGAGGTCACTTTGGAATATCACTTTGCGGGACTACTGTATTCTGAAGAAAACGGTGCGTTTAATCGAATGTCCGTGACGATAAGCAACTAATCCAACAATCGATTTGCTGATTGGTCTCTGTCGTGCATCCATTTGTGCTTACCCCTGCTTGAGCCAAGGACAATGCAGAGAACCGGGTGTTCATTCGCTGTTTGTCTTGAGGGTATTGAACCAACGAAGCAGTCGGGTTATGAGGTTGGAATTTGATGAGTGGGTACTCCCTTGATGAGGAGTCGTCTCACGCGAAATCGATTATATCCAGCAAATCAACAGACTGTTTTTGAATTCTTCAAACTGAATTCTGCTTTGTTCTGATTTGTTTTTTCTGACAGCTGAGGTAAGCAGGTGCACATAAATTTATTGCATACAACATGCCGTATTTGCACTGACAGCCCACAGCGTCGAAGGTTAAATAAGGACTAGAACAGTTACCAACATTGTTCCCTATGCGTATGCTTCGTGGTGCTCGAGGTGGCAGGACTTGGTTAGCGATAGCTAGCAACTATGACGGACCGCCTGAGATTTCTTTTTCAGAAGTGTACATAACTACAGCATGTGTGGAAAAAGTAAAAACGAACGCTGTTTCATGTCATGGTCCGCACAAACCATCCTACCGTCTGCATAAATGGCAAAATGTAACTCACCCTGATCAGCTGGTCCCGGCATGTGGTATCGGGATCCATAAACCGACTTGAGCGTTTCATTAGTAACTCCAAAACCGTCTATTATCCATTGTACAATAAGTTGTTTGTTAAAACTCTGACCTAATTCATCGGGAGTAATTCCGTAGAGATGACGATCAAGTATTCGGCATTGAAATCTTGCCGTTCTTCCAATCACGACAGACTGATTTGACGGGCCTTTGAGTAATGTTCCTGTGGGATTTGGTGAATCACTCAAATCGGCCATTGCGTAACGAGTGCTCCAGAGAAACAACAAAAGTGACAAACACAGATGGTGTAAATGCCTCGGCTTGATGATTGATGAAAATACCATTGTTTTGACCTGTCGTTAAGAGCAAGGCCTACTCTCTTATACGCTTTATATCCAACATTGACGAAAGATAGAATGGGCAAACACAAGTGCGATGCTAGTCGCTTTAGTCATCCAGTTGAATTCTGTGACATGACTGCCCCAGCTATAAGGAGATTTGTAACTTCCGCCCTGTTGTACCAATCATCCAGCCTGATTGGTCCATTGGATGCGGTGAACTGTCACGCAACCGACCAATCATATTTGACCGTGCATTCTCCTTAGTTGCCACAATCACCGCTGTCTAGTTGATGGTCAGTGAACCGTTTTTCACACGACCCGCGTTCGAAAAGTAAAATGTACTTAGCATAAACATGGGATCCATAGCCGTGTTAAATGGAAAACAAAAGCAAAATAGACAAACAGTGGCGTACAGTAGAATCTGTAGCATGTAGCAATCTACCGAAAAGCAACACACTTACCATAACTAAATGCATGTGATCTCACGACTATATTCCTTTTACAATTCTGCAAATGTTAAGAGGCAAATTAAAATTTTTCAGTCACTACTGGAACTGTGGTTTTATCGGCATGTCTTTTTAAACGGCCAAATGGGTCCGTCCATAAAATACACGTGCCTAGCCAATTCTGTTTCGCGTCTAACTGAACCGACACAGGTGATGAGTAACCCTTTTAAGTAGCTGAGACCCATGTCCTTGTTATGAAGTTGTGGTGCTACCACGAGAAATTCAAGTAGAATTTCGAGAAATATACTCATTTGCAAATCAATTTGGTTTTCACGAGAGACTCAATAGGGTCTCTCGTTCATGATATTCTACAAGCAGAACATAAAGTTGACGGAACTCGGAGACTGCGCCTACTTGATGAGCCCGAAGAAGGGCGAAACCGGTCGTCGGCTGTCGAAGAGCTTTCATCAACCTTGTGAGTAGTTTCTTTCACGTATAATTTGTTCAAGATTTTTCACTTTCTCGCCGCAGACGCTCTGTTCATGCCTATTTGGATGTATTGTTTGTCCTGCATATAATCGGATTTTAGTGTTTCTCAGTATCATGGTTGTGTACGGCATCACAGACGGGAAAATTCACTTCTGCACGAAAAAAAACCAGATTCCTTGTCAGCTGCCTCACACCTCCAAATAGACGTGTCAAATAATTGACGAGTGTCAAGGAAATTAGTGACAAACGGCCACGGGTTCCTTGCAGTCAATAATTCACTGATGAAAATGCCATCTGGGGAAAGTATTTCGCTTGTAGGGGCACAGCTATCAATTTACATGAAAAAGTGATTGCAAGCCGAACCGGTGAGTGGCTGGTTTCTCAATTACGGAGCAATCCCAATGGATGATTTTAAAGGAGAGACAGCCCGGGGTGAAACTAACGTCTGTTGTGCTTTTGGACATGCAGGTCGCTGCATCATAAAAAAACAAGACAGAATACAGCAAGCGGAACACTTCAACACATAGGGGAACAGAACAAGAGAGTTTCCTACTTGGCAAAAGGACGGACTGTGGTAATTCTGTGGTTCGGAAGCCCACCCAAGTCTCCTGCTGGCAGTTACCGTCTA